ATCCTTCTAGTTGCTGTATGTGGGACGCGGCCTCAGCATGGCCGGCGAAGCGGTGCGTTGGTGCACGCCCGGGATCCGAACCCGGGCTGCCAGCAGCGGAGCGCGTGCACTTAACCGCTAAGCCACGGGGCCGGCCCTGAGAAACACCTCTTAATGAAGGCTGGGGCTCACCTGGGGAACCCACTTAGGGGACACAAAGCTGGTGGCTTCTATAACGGGAAGTCCGGCTTCAGAAAGCATGTCTATCAGCTTGATTTTCACAGGGGTAGGTACGATATTCTGCAATGGGGAGAGAAACACCAGAAAAGATAGGTCAGCAAAGTTGGGAATAAAATGGTCTCAGAATGCACTGCCTGTTATTTCAAAGCCTTTGCTGCGGCGAGCACTTTACTACCCCAACTTCCAAACACTAACATGAATTCACATGTAATCCTCACCAATAGGTGGGGTATGAGACTTGTCTTCAAGTTCTACAGATACTATTCAGGTTAAAATATTAACTCGAAAAGGGGTTAATATTTACATGGAAATATTTTTCTGCCATACAGGCTTTTTCTTAAGTAAATGTTTGTTACTTTATGACTTATAAACAAATTGAGATCAATGTGCCATGGCCTGAAAGGGCAGAGATGACTAACCCTCTGGGTCCTGTGAGATGGGGCCCCCAAAGTGTCACACCCTCCCCTTTTCTGTCTCCCAACTGGCATAGGATCTCATCCTCACATGTTCAGCCTATTGCTTCTTTCTCTCCCTCCCCCACCATGTCTAGCTGCTCACCAGATTCTGTGGATTCCTCTTTCCAAATCTACCATCACTATCCTATGCATTTTATGGCATGCTCTCACTCTACCAATTCATCCCACACAGGAATCCATTTAAAACAGTCTCCATTATTTCACTCTCCTGCTCAAAAGCCTTCTATGGCTCCCTAGTACTTACAGGATTAGGTCAAAAATCCTAAGAACTCCAAGTCCTTCTTGCCAGCACCCCACCCCCACAACCAATTTCTCTCCTGCTTTAACTTAATCCATTCCACAAGTAATTTTTGACAGCCCTCCATGTTCCATGGATTGTACTAGGTGCTAGGCATACAGCAGTGAATAAAACAGACATGATTCTGCCATGATAGAGCTTACAGCTTACTGTTTCCAAACAAGCGCTCAATATTAAAGCTAGGCTAATCATGCTTAAAGAAAAAAAAAAAGCTTTTCTTATTGAAAAACTAATTAATACATGATTATTTCAGGAAAAACATGCCAAAAACAAAAGAAAACCACTCTTAAAACCTCCCAGAGACAACACTATTAACACCCTGATATGTAACTTTCTAGATGTGTGCAGTCCAATACATTAGACACTATCCATATGTGGTTATTTAGTTTAATTAAAATTATAAAAAAATAAAAATTCAGTTCCCCAGCCACACTAGCCAAATTTCAAGTGCTCAATAGCCACATGTGTCTAGTGGCTACCAGACAGGACAGCTCAAGTCCAGAACATTTCCATCTTCACAGAAAGTTCTATTGGACAGCACTGTTCTAGATCCTTTTCTAGGGAGATGCTCCCACATATATATACTTTGTTTCTCACATAAAACTGTAAGATTAAAAAATATACATACTATTTTATAATCTGCTTGAGTCAATATATTCCTGTATTAACAGCTCCATAATATTCCATTTTACGAAAAGTCATTAATGTATTTAATCTAACTTTCCGCATACTGAGCACTGAGGTTGTTTCCAGCTGTTCTGCTGCTACAACAGGGTTGTAAGGAACATCCCCAAGGACAGGTCTTTGAATGTGGCCTTCATGACTTCCTTTGGATAAATGCCCTTACCTTCACTCTACACTCCTGCAGCACTTACCAGCCACCTGCCCCACGGGGCCTTGAGATGGACCCGGGACACCACACCTGTAGCATCACTGTCTTAGATTGCTTAACTGTCACAGGTGCCTGCCTGGCCTCCCCGACCCTGCCCAAGTCAGGCAGGGCGATCATGTCTTGCACAGCTCTAGCCATCCCTGCTGCACTGACCACATGGAACTCTCAATGCTCGAAAAACTGTTTCTGGTTGATTTCCATCTTTACCTTTTCATTTTGTAGTCCATCTCGGGGACCGACTTCCACAATTTTCACCCGCTTTGGGAAAGTACCCACAGATGAGGTGCTGACCTTTGGTTTAAAAGAGGAAACAAAAGTAACAGGAAGAGACTGTCACAATTCTCCAGGGGCACAAATCTGAAAGAACAGAGTCATCTTCAATAATACTGAGATAAGAAGCAATTTCTCACCATTTAATTTACATATGGTCTGTTGTAGAATTAAGAACAAAAAGAATATTTCACTCAGAAACAGGAATGAACAAGAGATTCACGCTCCCAGTACAGGCCCAATTCCAACTCCCCTGAAGTCCAGACCCATTTCCAACTGCCTATCTGACAGGTGAGCATTTTAGCTTGTTTCTTACACAAACCTATTTGCACCTCTCAAACTCAGAAGTTACAAAACAGAACTGTTTAATTTCTCCTAAAGCCCAGCCTGACTTCAACCTCTCTAGCTCAGTAAAAAGCATCACATGCATTCTGTTGCTTAGGCTAGAAAGCTGACTCACCCCCGTCCCCCACTCACCATGGCCTATAAGGTGCTTATCATTTGGCTCCTGCTGATTTCAGTGAACTCATTACTTGTTCCTACTCTTCCACAAACCACCCTTCCCCAGCCATGGGGTCACTAGACTCCAGTCCCACTGGCCTTTCTCTCACAGCAGGGCCTCAGTGCTTACTGTTCCCTATGCCCAGGATGCTATTCCCACATCTGGCTCCCTTTCATCTTTCAGTCATAGAGAGGCCTCCTCTGACCACCCTTTGTAAACCTGCCAATCCTCTCACCCTCATTACTTTCTAATGCAGGACTAGAACTACCTCCTTCACAGCACTGCTAAAGAATGCCTACTCAGTGTTTCCTCCAGTACAACATACGCTCTGTGAGGGACTTTGTCCCGACCTCCACTTCATCCCTTGTGTTTGGCACTATGCTTGGCACAAAGCAGGCCCTCATTAAAACATTACTGAAATAACAAATAAATGCATGCAGGAAGCGCAATTACTGGGTGTCGGGAGGAGTAGCTAATCTTGGAATTTGTGGGGTTGGGGCGATGGAGAGGGCTCCGTTCTGTTACAATCACAGGCTGGGCGATGACAAGGAGAGGGGGTTTGAGGGGAGACAACACCTTCAGCAGCTGAAGACGTTAAAAAAAAGGCCTGAGTCTCCTCTATAGAAACTCTGCCCCAAATCTTCCCCTTTCACCACCAAGCAATACGAGGCTCCTTTTCCCTCCTTCCTGTGTTCTTAATACTACAACTCTTCAAAGTAACTTCGTTTTGGGGCCGGCCCGTGGCTTAGCGGTTGAGTGCGCGCGCTCCGATACTGGCGGCCTGGGTTCGGATCCTGGGCGCGCACCGACGCACCGCTTGTCCGGCCATGCTGAGGCCACGTCCCACATACAGCAACTGGAGGGACGTGCAACTATGACATACAACTATCTACTGGGGCTTTGGGGAAAAAAAGGAGGAGGATTGGCAATAGATGTTAGCTCAGAGCCGGTCTTCCTCAGCAAAAAGAGGAGGATTAGCATGGATGTTAGCTCAGGGCTGATCTTCCTCACAAAAAAAAAAAAAAAAAGACAAAGTAACTGCGTTTTACCTGATGTAATCTGGATAAACATATTGCAGTGGGGCAAGGGGAAAGGTGCACTGTGTAATCTGATAAGATCCCAAACTCCTGAAACTCTTCAGGAAGGAAATACTCCCTGCTATGAATCAGCTGGAACTTCAACAACTCACCTGACTGGCCTTAGTTTTAGCCAGCAAAGCTTCCTAGAGACTAAGGTGATGAGCCATTGAATTCCATGAAGTCAAGAGGCTAAGCTGGAAAGTCCCTGCAAGCTGAATCTCCCTCCAACAGGGATGTTCAGCCTCTGCTGGTACATTCCAGTGGGATCATTTTAGGGTAATGTAAGCTTCCTGAGGCAGGGACTGTGTTTTATTCATTGCTATATTTCCAAGGCCCTGGGACATAATAGGGGCTCAAAAAATAACTGCTGAATGTTGTTGAAAGAATGTAAAACCTGCTTCCATGTTCCTTTTATTAGAACAGAATAAAGTTAATTCCACTTTCTTCCCCATAACAACTCTTCATATAACAACAACAAAATAACAATTCACATTTATCAAGCATTCAATATTTGCCAGGCACTTCTAAGAGCCTTTTACATATGAATTCATATCATTCTCTCAACAACCTTATTAGGTAGGAACTTCTATAATCCCCATTTTACTGCGGGAAAGCCAAAGCCCAAAGATTAAGTAACTTTCCCAAGGTCACATGGTTAGCTAGTCACTGAGCCAATATTTGAACCTGGCAGTGTGGATCTAGAGCGCATGCTCTTGACCCCTAGTTCTGCTCAGAGATGACCTAACCACACAAGTCCCGAGCCACAGCCTCCTGAGCTATGGTGTACTTGTATCAACAGCTAATACTGACTAAAGCCCAGTGCTAACGTCAGGCATCAGGACCTCATTTAGTCCCTACTGTGTAGGGGCTATCATTACCCCAACTCCACAGAGGAGGAAACAGCCTCAGAAAGATTACTCCAAATCACACAGCTAGGAAGTGGGGAAGTTTGGATGTGAACCCTCTGGTTCTGATACCAACTCCATGCTAGCAACCCCGTGGAGGGCCTAACACCACTATCTCATGACACCAGGAATTTTTTCAAAGCACATTAATATCATATCATTTAATTTTCTTAATTTTTCACGTTGGAATTACCATCTTTATTTTACACCTGAACAATTGGTGGAGGAGAGTGGCCTAGTAGACGTTCAAGCGGCTTTCTGAGAGGGGCCCACTGCCACGATAGTGTAATTTTCCCCACTGCACAGCTCTAACTCCTTCTCAACTCTCTAAGGCAAAACCACCACAAGCGACGATCATTTACTAAGAGCTAGAACAATGTCAAACGCTTTCCCTACATTTTCTTTCATCTCCAAAACCCTGAGGTAATGTTTATCCACGTTACGGATGAGAAAACTGAGGTTTAGGAAGTAATTATGTCACTCAGCCTAGAAAGTGGCAGAACCACTGGGACACTATAGCTTGAGCTTTACCTTACACAATTTATTCAACCTTTTATAGAACTAGGTCTCCTCCACATTCCCTTCACTCACTGAGCATGGGAGACAAGGGGCGACACCAGACTCGAAGAGGCCCACAGTACAATTCCAGGGGAACCACAGCGCCGCCCCACGCGACCCCCAAGTCCCGCTCGGCGCGCTGGGACAGCGCGCCAAACGTCCCCAAACGCGACAAGAGCTGGACACGGAGGTGGAAGAGGGGGATGACCTTGCTTTTTCCACGCGGAAGTGGAAGGGTATTCGGGATTTTCACTGAGGAGGAGCCGGGAGAGGTCTGAAGCTCAATTAGAGAGAGAAAGGTGCCGGGGTCACCAGGAAGAGCTTTGGAGAGGAAATTAGGACCTGGGTTGAGCAAGTCGCTTCCATCTCTGGGCCTCAGTTTCCCCATGCCCCTCAAGGGATTTGGGCGGGACAGAGAGGGTCCAAGACTCCAAGGCCCTTCCGACTCTGGCCTGAAGACTGTCCGGCTTCTCTCAGAGAGCAGCCGCCACGGGCCAAGCCCCCGACCTCGACCGTCACGGTGCCTGCGGAGCCGCCCCTCGGCGGGCCGGGGCACTTACAGCCCGGAGGGACGCCAAGCCCACCAGTCTCCGCGGCAGCTCCCGCCTCACTGTCGCCATCTTGTCCCAGCTTCCCGCGCGGCCGCCCAGCTGAGTCCCACGTGATCGCAGACCGTCTGGTGGGCATGGCCCCGCCTTTGGGGCGGGGCCTCTGGAGCGACGTGGTGGCGCTCTGCGCAGGCCCCGCCCCCAGCCTCTCTCTTCGTACTTATTTCTTCCGGCTGGTCTCGGTCCTTTTCGTTTTTACTGAGCGCCTTTCATATGCCAGGTGAAGTGGGGCGCCAGGGCAATAAGGATGAACAAAAATTAACCAAATTCTCTGACTGCATGAGTTTAGAATCTGGGCGGTATGGGAAGACAGATATTAACAACACACAGTTATATAATTACTACCTTTCACAATAATACGCAGCATTACTATTTGCCATTCACCGCTTTCTTTGCACATATTGACTCATTCATCACGATCTTCAGGATTCAAATGCAGGCAGCTGACTCTAGAGAGCGAAGCATCCTTTGATTTCATACTTTGAAGAATAGTGAGCTCTATCCAGGTAAAGAAGATACAAGGAAAGCTTTCCAGACAGAGAGAATAGCACATGCCAAGGTCCTGAGGCAAAGAAATGAAAGGCTGAGTAGTGTTTTTCAAAATGCACGTTGTTCCTCATTAATTGGTCATAATATCAATTTACTGGGTACCAACTATTTTTTTTAAGAAATGGAGTAGAAAATTTCAGAGTCCATTGTATAAGTAGTAAAGCTAAATACTGGTTTGCAAAATATTTGTTATTATATATGTCAACCAGGTTGCAATGTAAAATATATTTCTTACTGTAGGCTGCAATTAGAAATGTTTGAAAAACATTGTTTTAGAAAGATGAAAAGAAGACCAGAATGATTGGAGAGCAGGCAGGGAGTAGGAAGGGGACTTTCTACTAAGACAGGAGAGATTGGCAGAGACCATACCACAGGGCTTTGGAGAACACGTTGATAATAGCTATCGTAATACCAGTGCATTTCAAAGGTTTTAATCAGGGAGATATGATCAAATTTGCATTTTGTAAATAGTCATTGTGGCTACTGGGTGGGTGGATATCAAAGTGGTGAGTGCACTGACTGGCATTCTCAGGGGAGGCAGAGAAGGCACTGTCCCTGTCTTCAAGGGGCTTAGATTTTAGCTAGGGCGAGAACAAGACATGATAAGTGTTGTGTTATGCTTTCGCAGCACTGAAAATTTCCTTCCTCCTAACAGAGCGCACTCATAGAATTCTCCAACCTGCAGCTAGAGGGCTCAACTCGACCCCAAAATACTAGCATGGCATTTACAATAACTATGACTTTCAAGACTGGTACACTGAAAACTTCAAACCATTGTTGATATTACAGAAGACGTAACTAAATGAAAGACATCCTGTTGTTCATGAATTAGAAGATTTAATATTGTTAAGATGTCAGTACTACCCAAAGTGATCTACAGTTTCAATGCAATCCCTATCAAAATCTCAATGACTTTTTTTTTGCAGAAGTAAAAAAATCCATCCCAAAATTGGTATGGAATCTCAAGAGACCCTGAATAGCCAAAATGATCTTGAAAAAGAAGCACAAAGTTGGAGGAATCGCACTCCCCGATTTCAAAACTTACTATATTAATCAAAACAGTGTGGTACTGGCATAAAGGAAGACATATAGACCAATGGAATAGAATTGAGAACCCAGAAATAAACCCTCACATATATGGTCAACTAATTTTCAACAAGGATGCCAAGATCATTCAGTGGGGGAAAGGGCAGTCTTTTCAACAAATGGTACTGGGGTCATTGGATATCCACATGCAAAAGAATGAAGTTGGACCCTTACCTGACACCATATACAAAAATTAACTCAAGATGGATCAAAGACCTAAATGTGAGAGGTAAAATTATAAAACTCTTAGAAGAAAACATAGGGGAAAAGCTTCATGACATTCGATTTGGCAATAGTTTCTTGGTTATGACACCAGAATCACAGGCAACAAAAGAAAAAATAGATAAATTGGCCTTCATCACTTTTGTGCATCAAAGGAGACTGTCAACTCTCAAGAACAAGACGGCAACCTGCAAAATGGGAAAAAAAATTTGCAAATCATATGTCTGATAAGGGATTAATATCCAGAATATACAAAGAACTCCTAAAACTCAATAATAAATGAAACAAACAACCAACTCAAAAATGGGTAAGGACTTGAATAGACATTTCTCTGAAGATATACAAATGGCCAATAAGCACATGAAAAGATGCTCAACATCACTAATCATTAGAGAAATGCAAATCAAAAACACAATGAGATACCACTTCAAACCTACTAGAATAGCTATATAAAAAATAAAAATAAAAAAATAACAAGTGTGGGCTAGGATGTGGAGAAATTGGAATCCTCATACATTGCTGGTGGGAATGTAAAATGGTGCGGCCGCTATGGAATACAGTATGGCAGTTCCTCAAACATAGAATTACCATATGATCCAGCAATTCTGCTTTATACCCAAAAGCATTGAATGCAAGGATTGGAACAGATATTTACACACCTGTGTTTATAACAGCATTATTCACAATAGCCAAAAGATGGAAACAACCCAAATGTCCATCAATGTATGAATGGATAAACAAAATGTGGTATATACATACAATAGAATATTATTCAGCCTTAAAAAGAAATGAAATTCTGATACCTGGTACAACATGAATAAACCTTGAAAATACTATACTAAGCTAGACACTAAAGGACAAATATCATATGATTCCACTTATATGAGGTACTTAGAATAGTCAAATGCATATAGAAAGAAAATATAGTGGTTACCAGGGACTAAGGAGAGAGGGGTATGGGGAGTTATTGTTTAATGGGTACAGAGTCCCAGTGTGGGAAGATGAAAATGTTCTGAAGGTGAATAGTGGAGATGATTGCACAACAATGTGAATGTACTTAATGCCACTGAATTGTATACTCAAAAAGGATTAAAATGGTAAATTTTATGTTAGGTGTATTTTACCACAATAAAAAAGTACACACATACACACAAGGCCTGCCCTTGCCAGTTCCTGGTCCCCATCACTCCTAATTGTATCACAGATAGTTGGATTCACTCATTTCCTGGCTGTCCCCTGAAAGCACTTGTTGGTAAATTATGCAAATGTAAATTAGTTACAAGTCCAGCTCTGAGGTGAAGGCCTAAAGGGCAGAGAGTTTAACTGGTTGTTCACTGTGGTGTCCACAATACTAGCTACATGGCTGGCACTAAGTAAATATTAACTGAAAGACAATTACTACCAAATGTAGCAGAGTCTGCTCAGGGTCACCCTCAGTTGGAATCTTATTTTAACTCAAGATGTGAGAAAAATAACTGAAAAACTCAAGTAAGTAGAATAAAGGACAAAATAAAAGGTAGAAACGCAAATGAAATAGCAAAAACCTTACAACTGACAGAAAATCATCCAATTAAAAAAAAAGGAAAGTGACTCTTTGAGACTAATAAAATTGACACCATTGTGTGACCATATTGGTCACAAAAAAAGGCATGAATAAAACAAGAGGACAGAATTAAAGACACTGCACTGTTTAATGTGCAAATTTATGGACATTAAATCTAAAAACTTTGTTGAAATGGATTTCCTAGAAAATTGTAACTTTAAAAAGTGGCTCAAAAATAAAAGAATCCTCACATCCTGTAAGCAAAGAGACAGATAATAACAAGTGTTGGCAAGGATGTGGAGAAATTGGAACCTTCATTCATGACTAGTGGGAGTGTAAAATGGTGCAGCTGCCGTGGAAAAGAATTTAGCGGTTTCTCAAAGAGCTAAATATAGAATTACCATATGATCCAGCAATTCCACTCCTAGGTATACACCCAAGAGAACTGAAAAGCAGGAACTCAAAGAGATAACTTGTACGTCAGTATTCATAGCAGCATTATTATTCACAATAGCCAAAAGATGTAAACAATTCAAATGTCCATCAGCTGATGGATGGATAAACAACATGTGGTATTTACATACAATGGAATATTATTCAGCCTTAAAAAGGAATGCAATTTTGATACATACAACAACATGAATAAACCTTGTAAATATTATGCTAAGTGAAACAAACTAGACACAAAAGGACAAATATTGTATGATTCCACTTATATGAAATATCTAGAATAGGCAAATTCATAGAGACAGAAAGCAGATTAGAGATTACCAGGGGCTGGGGGTGGGGGTGGGAGGAATGGGGAGTTATTGCTTAAAGTGTATAGATTTTCTCTTTGGAGTAATAAAAATCTTAGAAATAGCTAGTGTTGATGATTGCATGACATTGTGTAAGTAATCATTGCCACTGAATTGTACACTTAAAAATGGTTAAAATGACAAATTTTATGTTACATATATATATTTTTTATCATAATAAAAAAAAACAGAGTTACCAAATGACCCAGTAATTCTACTCTAGAGATATACTCAAGAGAAATAAAAATGGGGCTGGCCCATGGCTTAGTGGTTAAGTGCGCGTGCTCCGCTACTGGCAGCCCGGGTTTGGAAGCTGGGCGCGCACCGAGGCACTGCTTGTCCAGCCGTGCTGAGGCCGCGTCCCACATACAGCAACTAGAAGGATGTGCAACTATGACATACAACTATCTACTGGGGCCTTGGGGAGAAAAAGGGAAAAAAAGGAGGAGGATTGGCAATAGATGTTAGCTCAGAGCTGGTCTTCCTCAGCAAAAAGAAGAGGAGTAGCATGGATGTTAGCTCAGGGCTGATCTTCCTCACAAAAAAAAAAAGAGAGAGAAATAAAAATGTTTGTACACTAATGTTCATAGCAGCCTTATTCATAATTAGCCTAAAAGTGGAAGCAAACCAAATGTCCATCAAGTGATGAATAAATAAAATGTGGTGGTATGTCCATACAGTGAAATGTTGTTCAGTCATAAAAAGAAGTAAAGTCCTGATACATGTGAGAACAAGGACCAACCTTGAAAAAATTATGCTAAGTGAAAGAAAGCAGACACAAAAGCCCACATATTGTATGATTGCGTTTATATGAGGCACCAAGCACAGGCAAGTTCACAGAAACAGAAAGTTG